CTGATAGCCGCTGGTTTGTAGTCTTTGTGGGATGGAGAGCAACAGAAAAATGCCTGAAGATGAGCCAAGGACACGGTGTCCCACTTTTTAAAACAGAAGTTTAAAAAACTTTAGAGTTCTGGGATTTCTTAACTGTTAAGGGGGTTGTGTCCGTTTTATCTGCACGGTTCTGGACAGAAGCGCGACTCATGGCCTTAGCCTGCTTCTGCTTTCCTCCAGACTCGCTCTTGCCGCTTTGCATCGTCCTGTGAGCCCTGCCTGATCCTTTGTGTTGTCCTCTTCTCAGAGCCCTGAGCGCTGCTAAAGGAAGCTGCGTATTGATGCCCCCGCTACCAGCCCAGTGTGTATGTAACGACTGCAGATTTCCCAGGCTGCTGCTGACAGCTGTTTTACTTCTATTCACCAGTCTTTCCTTAAGCTGGAAGCCTTATTTTATCATGAGCAAGTTCCTTTATCTTTGTATGCTCATTTCAAAGAAGTTCATTAGCTCTTTCCTTGAAACAATTGCTTTGTTGACTCAAATGTTCATGTTTTTCGCTTGGGCAGCATTTAAAAGTGATAGTCACTGAGTGAGCCAAGGTCACTGAATACAAGGCTTATCTAGCTTTCTTTGATTGAAGGTCAGGAAGACACAATGTGATTTTTTTTTTTAATCTAAGCGTTTGAGAAAGTTCACTTATTTGACGAATGATTTCTGAGTGTTATCTGTATGCCAAGTGTTGGGAATTTTTAAAAGAAGAATGCAGCAAGGGGTTAAAATATTAGGACTCACAGATGGCTGCCCAGGGCCAGACCTGTCTACCATGAGTTTATGGGATAGGGTAGGATAGGATAGGATAGGATAGGATAGGATAGGATAGGATAGGATAGGGCGGGGCAGGATAGGGTAGGACAGGTCAGGATAGGGCAGGATAGGGCAGTTTAACAGAAACATTAAGCAGAAGGATGATGTAATTGGATAACCCATTTTTTGAAAACACGAATTTCTGACCATTTTCGATCTCTAAATTCTTTGATCCCCAGCAGTGCGTTTCTCTTTGTTGTGATAAACAGGCAAATTTAAGAGTAGAAGTAAACCTGAACTTGTGAGATCATCTTGGTTTTAGGTTTTGTGTGCAGATGTTTGATGTGACCCGCATTGATGGGGAAGTTGCTGGGACCCCTTTGTGAGTGAAACCCTGGCAATGACACTGACGTGCAGGGCACTTTCTCGGCTCTGGGGATTGCACAGTCTTGTGAGGTGGCCCTTGGTGGTCACTTGGAGTGGCACCTGGTGGGGCAGTACCAGTAACTGGTGCTCTGTATCGCTGTGTCACGTGCCAAGGCCACCTCTTCCCGTGCATGAGCTCACGTAATGGTCCCAGTATCATCTGTGTAGTTGGGAGAAAGGTGTTTTGCACAAGTTCCTAAAGTCTCCCTGTATGTATGTGGGGAAACCATGTGGACCGAGTAGCCCAAGAGCTTGCTGCACTGGGGCAGTCTGTGTGGCGGTCGCTGCCAGGGTAGCTGGGCAGTGCTTTGCAGTCGCAGTGACCATGGAGCAGCGGTGGTGAAGCTACAGCACGTGTGCCGCAGCGGGCTGTTTGTACTGTTGACAGCTGTAAACGGTTCACTGTCACTGCCTAAGTTTCACTCACTAGTCAGAAAGGAGCCTGAGGCCTCGCAGGCTGGTGAATGGGTACAGAGAATGTAAGCATGTGGCCTACCAAGCACGAAACATGCTGTTGAAAAATGGAGGTGGCCGCCCTGAAAAGCAGTTGGTCCCCAGAAGGAAGGTCCCTGAATCCTGTTCCGGTGAACTGACATTACTGCTCTCCAGCGCTGCAGTGCCATGTGTGGTGGCGGTGTTGGGAACATCCGTGGACAAGGCTGAAGGGGCGTGGGCCTTCCCTGCATGCCTGGGCGGTGGTTGCTGTGGTTCTGAGCACACATCTCCTGGGAAAAGCTGGAGAGCACTGGACACTTTCATGCCCTGGGAAGCTGGTAGAATTGCAGGGTTCTGCGGTCTGGTTTCAGCAGGCAGAGCAGGAAGCTCTGGTTTGACATTAGGACGATGTAGCCTTTCACTGAGTAACAAAGAAGGCCTTATTTCACATAGTGATACTTAATGACTGAGCTCCAAACCGTGAGCTCCCTCTGACTCTGCAGTGCTCGAGTGAGTGGGAGCAGGCAGCCTGTGGTGAAGGAAGCCCCCCCTAAGTGGGGGGTATGCTTCTCAGCTCCTACGGGGCATGACACTGCTGCAGTCTTGGGGCCCCTGCGATTCAGTGGAAATGGATGGGTGACACACACAGTCTTTCAGGAGCGAACTCTGCTGTCTGCTGCTTGATAGCACATTTGTCTTTACATTAACTTTGCATACTCTGTGCATCTCAAAAGACAAATCAGTCTTGATGTTACCTTCTGCATGTAAGTCGTAGATTCGGTTTACTGCAGCTGGAGCTGGTCTTCTCTCCTAGCACTCTGCACACATCTCACTATAGACCTAGAACTTCCCAGTTTGTGGTATAGTGTCTTCTCTCTGTATAGCTTTGCGGTTATGTTCTAATGCATAGTCGGAGGCTAGTGTCAAAGGACAAAATTACAAGAAATTTAAAGATCCTATGATTTTTATTTGTGCTCAGCATCAGAGCATTGCTTCACATCAGTAAATAAATGAGTTGGTGCTATTAGATTCTCTGGCCGGGGACCATTAGTCCAAAGGTATGGGCCAGTCCTGAATCTCTGCAAAGTCATATTAAATTGGGCATTGATCACTTCATGTTTTATTAGTCAGTTATTGTTTATTAAGTGGAAGAGAAAGAAAATGATCCTTGTATTTAGGTCTGTGATGGATAAGTTTTGAATGCATAATGGACTCAAAACTGGGAAAGCTAATGTGGTTTTATTAATGAAATGAAAATGTGCGTAGCTGAGAATGTTGCACACATAGACGTGCAGTGAATGTCAGCTCACGGTGGGCCTTGAACATGGCAGGCAAGCACTCTGCCGCTGAGCTACAGCCCAGCCATTTGTGGGTTTCTTCTTTTTTTTTTTTGAGACAGGGTCTCACCGAGTTGCTTAGATTGGGCTAAAATTTGTGATCCTCCGGCCTTAGCCTCCGAAGTAGCTGAGATTATAGGTACATGCCGCCATACCCAGCTGTTGTTTTTATTTTTAACTTATAGAAGTATCTCTTCCTTTACTTGTTATATAGTTATCTGTATTTGGTCCCTACCTGTTTACTAAAGGCTTGTAGGGGCAGGGGCCTTGCCTTAGTACCTAACGTTGTTTTGGCCTTATGTCTGTAGTAAAACTTTGCTCGTACATTGACTCGAGTGGTTTTGCACAACTGGCTGTTGTGTAAAAATGTGGGATGTTAATGAAATGGGAAACTGAAGCTCTGATAATCACCTGGGAGGAAGGGAAGAAGCGGATTGCTGTTATTTGTGCTAGGCTTATGCTTCTTGCTGAAATTTCATATTTAACATTCTTACGAGAAAAGTTCCTCTGAAGCGAATAGTGGCTGTATGTTCAGTAGAGAATAGCAGTCTTGTAAATAGAACTCGACGTATGAGTGGTTAAGAGCACTGATGATACGATCTTGTGGACGGAAGCAGGGAGATAGAATTTGAGCCTGGCTGAAGAGGCGGTGCTTGAAAATGCAGCGGGGACACGGCTGACCTGGGAGGAGAACGTGTGAGCTGTGTGGATGGCAGATCCTGGTTTCTTACAAACTGGAGTGGAGAGGCTTAAGAGAGATGGCAAGGACGGAAATAGTAACCAAATCCGAATACAATCAGATTAGGAGAATATTGGCAGATTAATAGTGAGTCATTGAGCCACAACCTGTTCTCAGGTTAAATGTTTTTCTATCAGAGAATTCTTCATTTCATACTGACTTTAAATGTCATGATAAATAAGATTAATAGGCTTATTATTAGGGAAAGCTTTATTATGATTGACCTTATAAAATGCCTTGTGGCACAAAATTAGATCTCATGAGATAAATAATTCATTTTTCACATCAATGCCCAGATAAGTGTAAGCTCAATGTATATTGAGCTCACTGCATATGAGGTGAATGATCTGTATTTGAAATTATACAAACTTGTGTTGATTATCATAAAAATTGTCTGGTCTTCCCCATCTTATTTTTAGAAAAAGATTAAAAGAAAAATTAACCAGGTTTTTTTTTTTTTTATCTAGGTTTAACTGTAATTATTCCCTAAATTGTGACTGCTGTGATTTCTTCGTGTAGTATTTCTTTACCTTTTTTACTAATTTAAAGAGTTTTAGTTTAGATTTAGTGTTTTCTTGCAGTAGCACTGAAACCTGGAAATAGCACAAGGACCTTTTGATGCTGCTGAATTGAGACATTACTCGGGAACCAAGTGGGCAGGACACTTACAGGTACACCTTTGATGAGATTTTGATAATCACCCAGTTTGTTGCTCTCTGCATTGATACATTCATTCTTCTAGTCAGTAGGTGCGTGAATGTCCTATACTTGTCATTGTAGTGTTCTTTTCAGATATTGGTAGTAAGACCTTAGGTCCAACTGACTCAAGCCAAAACCTTTAGGATGGTGCTGTCCGACATCGTAGCCACTAGACGTATGTTGCCACTTAAATTAACACTAGTTAAAAGGAAATCAAATTAAAATTTAGTTCCTGGGCAATACTAGCTACATTTCCATCACTTAGTTCCTTGTGGCAGGAAGCTGCCGTGTTGAGTAGTGTTCCGTGGGACATTTCCTTCACTGAAGGAAGCTCAGTTGAGCGTGTTCCTTACTCCACACCTGGAAGACACCTCGGCATCCCCTTCCACTTCTCAGCCAGGGTGTGTGTCTCAGATTTGTTACCTTTAAAAGTATTCTTTGTCTTAATTTAGATCTCCTGAGTCAAGGCTCACATGCAGTTTATGCTTCTGTGCTGCCGTCCCCGCTGTGCTCTTGCTCCAGTGGCAGTCCCCTCTCTGCGCTCTGCTTGCATCCTGTGTGCAGCCTGCTTTTTTACAGATGCCTTTTCTTCTGGAGGGGTAAGAGGTGCTTACAGTTGGAGGTAGGGCTTCGGTCATTTCAGATAGGCACATAAATGCTGCCTGACACATAATAAAAATTGTTTATTGAGAAGACAGGCACAGGTGGATGAATGTGGCTTTCGTAGGTTACATTTTAAGGGCTAGAAACAATTGGGGTACCTGGAGCCAAGAGAGAGATGGGCATTCCTGATAGGAGTGTCCCCATATTTAAGTTATGCATGTTGAGGGAATTCTTTCTGGTAGACTCAAGAGTTGCTTTTGCTCCATGTGGAAATTGCCTTTCAGAGCCCAGAGCTCCTGATGATCGGCCACAAGGGGGCGCTGTTATCACTAAGCACTTAATGTGCGCGAGAACAGACTCAAAATGATGGCATTCCCTACAGGAAATGTGCAGCTCTGGGCTGGCAGGAGTGCACCTCTTAGATGTGCTGTGTTTTGCGCTTAATGGCTTCGACCTGTAGCTTCACAGGACTTGAAGGTGTGCTTTCCTCTGTGAGATGAGGCGGGTGAATTCTTTGAGACCTTTATGGTTCTTGACTTAATTAGAAATGTTAGCAGCTCAGTAGGGAATAAAAATGCATGTGTGTATGTCCAAAAGGAGACAGCGTAATACTCCTAAGGACAGTGATTCCATAGTCCGACAGATTCACCCTCGTACTTCTTTTCCTAGTCATGTGATCCTGGTCAAGTCACCTGACCCTCAAAGTCTTCATTTTTGATGGAGGTGTTCTCTGCCTCTGAAGAGTAGATTAACTGTGTGTGAAATGAGAGCGCGGTGATCGGGCCTGACTAAAGTGTTGGCCGAATAACAGCTAATAACAAAAGCAGTGATTCTGCAGCCTTTCACATAGATGGGAAAATTCCTCAACAGAGGCGGTTGTGCAGACAATGTTAGAATGTTAGAGACGTTCCTCATCCCTGCGCACGGTTGCGGCCACAGTTAGCCACCACATACACCTGTCTCTAAGCAGCTGTTCATTGTGTGGCTACTCAGAACCATCGAGTCAAGCAGTGTGACTTGGTAGAGGTAAAATGAGGTCTGAGCAGTACAACACCGAGGGATCCTTTTCAATAAGGTGACTTATGCTGATCACTTAGACAAAGCTCACTTTTCTCTTTCATTCCACAAAATCAAGAGTGTGCTGTGCAGCTGTTCCTCAGGAAGAGGAGGAAAGCTGTGGGCTGCTTTTGATTTTCAGTAAGCAAAATAGGACGTGTGTAAAAGAGGGTAACACTGAATGATTCGGAGTTTTCCCCCCCCATATTTTCAAAAGAATGCTGGCACTTACTGTCGTTCTCAAAATCTCCCGAGCCGTACTTAAGCGATGCGTGTTGAGGGAATTCTTTTTGGTAGGCCCAGAGTTGCTTTTCTTCCATGTGGAAATTGCCTTTCCCAAGCCTCGTTTCTCCTACTCTTGATTTCTCTGAATCTGTTTGGCATCATGCAGCCCGCTTTTGGGCTGCTTTGTTCTTGCATCTACTTTTTTGTATTAAAATTACAACTACCTGTCACCCAAATAAGAAATCACTTTCTTAATCAGTTTTGTGTATTCAGTGTTTGGGGGTGCTGCTTACACAACGTGCTTAGGAAGGTTCTGCTGAATGAATGAGCACCTGTTCAGTAAATTTCTCTTGTATATAATCATCCCCATGAGTCGTAACTGTGAGAAGCTATTGTCTATTACCTCCGAGTTCTAGCAGGGCTCTAGCGCACTGGCAGCACTGTTCGCTGGATTGCCCTGTGGCCTGGCTGCTAATACCCGGTGCCCTAGAGACACTTCACAGGGTGTTTATAGGTCTGTTCGGCAGGTGTAGAGTCTTTACTACTGTTTCCCCCGTGTCCCACTAAAATATTTATTTATAACACGGTCACCAAGATTTTATTAAATTTAAATATTGTTAGAAAAATCAATACAAAGGCCCTCATCGTGTATAATCCGTATGTGAATGAAAATTCTGCAAATAGTAACAAAGCTTAAAATGCACATGTTGAATATATGACTGAAGCGGCCCAATTGAGTATATCTGTAATATACTCGACTCGTTTTCTGCCCTTCAGCTGTTATTAACTATGAGTTCTTCATTTCAGATTTTATTCTGGGAGAGGGAGTTGGAATGACACAGGAATTCACATACCATATTAGCTTCTTGCTTAAACTAATTAAAAAAGAACCGGTTCTAGGATTAGAGCTCCCTTGGTGAAACTGTTGAAATGTGAAATTTGAATTTAAGACTTTGTTGAAGACTTGAAACCATTTTACCTACTGGTATTTAATTCTGTTTTTATTTTTTCTTTTTAGTTTTAATTTTGATTGCTGTTACTACTGATGTCTAAGCCAAAGTGGCGATGCTGCCTGAGGGAAATCTCTGCAACCAGTAAGTCAACAATTCCGTGGTAAGACCGCGTGCCTTTCAGCTTTACAGTCATTTAATTTCTATAGCATAGTCTAGAAATTTAACTGGAAATAGGATACATATTTTAGTGTGTAATATTCAGTGTTAGCATATCTAAGAGCATCTGATGGTACTTTAGAGCTTTGCTAATCAGCAGTTCAGGACTTGGAAAGAAAAAATGTGACTTGATATATTCATTTCATATTAAATTTTTTGTGTGTCTGAAAAATACATATGACTGTCTAATTTGACTTACTAAGCTGAGATCTCTACCTGGGTGTGGTGGTGTGCGCTACTTAGGAGCCTGAGGCAGGAGGCTCATAGTTTGAAGTTAGCCTGGGCTATATAACATAGCAGCTATACGAGATAAGCAGCCTGGCCTACGTAAGATAGTCTGTCTTAAACCAAACCAAACCGAAAAACCCAGAATCTTCCTAGCTAGTAATGAATGGTTATAAGTCAAGGTTTTAAAAACTGTAAAGCTTATCAGTGTTACCGTACTTTACTCTGAACTTAGTCTGTGATAATTCCAGCTGTGGCTAAAATGAGTTCATTGGATTATTTACGGATTTAGTGATCGGTATTGCTTTAACTTTGAGGGGATGATTGAAAAGGAATGAGACCATCAGACAAATAAGGCAAGGCATTCCTTCGAGCTTCACTTTTCCTCATGTGCAAAATAGTATGGTCTGTCTTGCTTGTTTTACAGCGTTGCAAGCAGTCAAATGAGGTGATGGATGTGGACTCTTCCTATATTTCTTTTTAAAGAGTAGGGAGAGAAAAACAGGCCTGTGGGCTTTTGAGATCGTGTTGAGAGAAAACACAAGGTGTAGTGAGAATACTGTCCCTGAAGCCAAAAGACTTTCATCTCAGCCTTGTCTCGCTTGACCTTGGGCGCGTCATTGTACTTGCTGACCGTAGGAAAGTCGGGTTTGATTCCCATAGTTTCCCTCATGTACCTATAGTCTTTGACCGCAGTGGAATTAAGCTGGAAATTAAATCAAATATCTGGAAAATCCCCACATACTGAGAAATCAGGGATCATATACTGAAAACCCATGCATCAAAGCATAAATCTTAAAGGAAATCAGAAACTGCTTTGAATGGAATGAAAATTAGAACAATATATCAAAGTCTTTGGGAAACACTTGAAGCCCTACTTAAAGGGAGATTTATAGTGTGAAATTTAGCTTCCATTTGAAAACGAAATTTTTGAAACAGTAGTTGTAAACTTTCTCCTGAAGAATTCAGAAACTGAGCTCACTGGTGGCGTGAAATAGTGCTTGCCTAGCATGCCCGGGGCCCTAGGTTCAACCCCTAGTACTGGAGAAAAAGAACTCAGGAACTAAAGAGCGAGGTGAACCCAGAACAGAAAGAAGAAGGAAATAACAACAGAATTGACTAAATAGAAAATGACAACAAAAAGGTGGAAAAAAGCTTTTCTTTGAAGAGATAAAGTATGATAAATTTGTAGACACACTACCCAGGAACAAAGAAAAGCAGAGTTTCTTATTACCAGAAAATAAAGTGGGTCTGTCACTACAGATCCTACAGATTAAGAGGACAGTGACAGACTATTACAGATCACTTACTGTTCATACATTTCCTAACTTAGATAAACGCACAAAATCCATCAAAAACACAAACCACCAGGGGCTGGGGATTTAGCTCAGTGGCACAGCGCCTGCCTAGCAAGTGCAAGGTTGTGAGTTTGATTCCCGGTACCGGAAAAAACAAAAAAAACAAACAAAAAAAAAAAACACAAACCACCAAACTACACTCAAGAAGAAATGGGTAGCCTGAGTAGGGCTTCATTAAGATGTTGAACTGGTAGTTAAAAACCCTTCCATAAAGAAGGCACTGAGTGTATATGACCTGACAGGGGAGTTCTTTCCACCTTTAGTATGCACAAATTCTTCAGAAAACAGAAGGGAGGGAATATGAACTTGTTTTAAGGGGGTCAGTATTACCCTGATACCAAAAAATATGTATTGTTTAAATAAATTATTAGTAAGTTAAAAACAGTTCATGTTATTGGGCTAAGTCTGCTTATCCCCTGACAGGACAGGTAGAGAAACATGGAAGATGGTGTTCTTTCAAACTTGGCTAGAGGAAAAGATAGTGAACTCTTGTCACAAGGCTTGTCTCTTCTGAAAGGTGATGTAGGGTGCTTTCATAGGCAGTTGATGATATTTTCGTATCAGTGGGCATCTTCCTACAGGCCAGGTAATTCACATCAGATCCTTCTTCCTAGGCATGAGATGTTTTCAGTTCTGCAAATCCCAGAGACAAAGATCATTATTGCCTTATGGTATTCCTGGAGCTCATTAGGGAGCAAGAACAAACAGGAAGGTAGCGGGAGCTGCCCCCAGGCCCTCGTGCTGATGGCCAGACTTCCAGTAGTGAACAAAAACATCCTGGGGCTCAGTTAATTACATACAGCCTCCCAGCTACTAAGGAAAATGGCCTTAATGCTCCACTTCAGTTTCCCACTGTCAGCCCATTCCACGTCTGTGGGATTCAGGTCACTCTCTCAGATCTATTTCCTGCTGAATGGGGACTTCCAAGGGTAAATGGAATGGAACCACCTCACTTGATGGGACTTAAAGCAAGAGCTGTTTGCTGGCAAATTTCTCTGCTTACAGTTTAGGGTAGACAGTACGAGATCACTTGGACAATGTACTTCACAACCTGAGCACGGTTACTCAGATCAAGAAATTGTATCCCAGGGGGTCTTGCTAGCTAAGGCCAAAGGGGGCTGCTCTCCAGAGGAGGACATGTGGTTTCCCTGAAATTCTGAGTTTTCAACATTCTCCAACCTAACTTTTCTGTCTTACAGTTCGTGGCCAACTGCTAGTCAGGTGGTCCTAACTAGCAAGTACTTTCATCTCATTTCTAAATGTAATCAAAATGTAAAACACCAAAATTTATCATAGTGTATAAGTATTTGCGAAGCATTTCTTGGCTCTCGGAGAAATCAGTTGTGTAATAGATAAACCCATTTTAATTGTCCCATTTAGTAGGGAGCTGATACTGAGGGAAGCTAGGTTCCGGCATCAGTCAAAACTGGGTCCCCTTGTAAGTCTGGACTAAAGCATTACCCTTCATCCGAGCAGCCAGATAAAACAGAAAATGAATGGGGCTCAGGGGTTCAAGGTCTCTTTTTCTTCTAATAAAAGGGAGTTTGCTGGGTTTTCTGCTAGAGCTCCTTTCGTTGGGTCCGGTCCAGTGCTTGGTCTGGTGGTAGTCAGCCCCTTGCTCTCTCCACATTTTGAGCAACACTTAGTCCCTGGAGGCACACATGTGTAGAGATTCATTTTCTGGACTGGGAAGCATCACATTTCTGCACACTGTCACACTATTGGCTGCTATTAACAGTGCCAGTGTTACAAGTCTTTAGTGGGTTGTATATGTGTGTTAACTCATTACTGTAACATTCTTGATTAATAATGCTATGTTGGCTTTCCAGAGTTCTGTCGAGGTGAGGGGAACAGTGGGAACTTTGCAGCAAGCTTTTTCTGCATCTATTGAAATGATCATGTTTTTTGCCTTTGGTTCTGTTAATATGATGTATTACATTTATTGATTTGTGTATGTTGAACTGTTGCTGTGTTTCTGGCATGAATCCTACTCGGTCATGGTGTGTAATCTTTTTGATGATTTGTTGCATTCTGTTTGCCAGTATCTTATTAAGAATTTTTGTGTCAGTGTTGATTAGGGAGATTGGCCTCTAGTTTTCTTTTTTGGTTGGGTTCTTTTCTGGTTTTGGAATCAGGGTTATACTTGCTTCCAGGATTTTTTTTTTTTTTTTTGGAATTATTGCTTCCCTTTCAGTTTCTTTAAAGAGTTTCAGCATTAATGGCATTACTTTTTTCTAAATTTCTTGTAGAATTCAGTAGTGAATCTGTCAGGACCTGGGCTTTTCTTTGTAAGTTTTTTATTACATTTACAATTTCATTGGCTGACAGCAGGTTATTTAGAATTTTTATATCTTCTTGATTTAGTTTTGGCAGTTCAGTTGTGTCCGGGAATCTGTCCATCTTCCATCTTAGAGTATAGGTTCTCAAAGTAGGTATTGATGATCTTCTAGATTTCTGTAGGATCCTGATTTCCCACTTTTCCTTCTTAATTGCTTGCATTTGTGTTTTTTCTTGCCTTCTTTAATGTGGTCAGCTAATGGTTTGTCAACTTTATTTACTCTTTCAAAGAACCAATTTTTTGATTCATTCATTCTTTGTCTCCATTGCTTTAATTTGTGCTCTTTCAAAGAACTGGTTTTTTGATTCATTCATTCTAAGTCTCCTTTGCTTTAATTTGTGCTCTTATCTTTACAGTTTCTTCCCTTATACGAGCTTTGGGTTTGATTTGTTCTTCTTTTTCTGGAAGTTTAAGGTTCAACATTAGATTGTTTATTTGAACTTACGCTGTTTTCCTGAAGTGAGAGTTCATCACCGTAAATTTCTCTCATAGGACTGCTTTCACTATGTCCCTTAATTTCCAGTATGTTGTTTTGGTGTTATCATTTAATTGTAGATACTGTTTAATTTTGTCTTTAATTTCCTCTGTGACCCATTGGTTGTTCAGAAGAGTGTTGTTTAATTTTCATGTGTTTATGTAGTTTTTGTGATTTCTTTTGTTGTTGATTGCCAGTTTCATTGCACTGTGGTCAGAGAGTGTGCATGAGATTATTTCAGCTCCTCTACATTTACTTAAGCATGTTTTATGGGCTGATGTGTGGTCTGTTTTGGAGAACATCCCATGTGCAGCTGAGAAGAACATATTCTGATGTTTTGGGGTGGAACACTCTGTGGACATCTATCAAGTCCATTTGTTCACAGCCTTGTTTTAATTCTGATATTTCTATGTTGATTTTTTTGTCTAGTTGATCTGTTATTTGTGAGAGTGGGGTATGTACAATTGTGTTAGTGTTTACTTTAATTTTTTTTTACTAGGAATTGAACTGAGGACATTGTACTTACCTG